TCCATGGAAAACAGGTACCAATAAGCAGTACGACTTGGCATGGAGGAAGTGGTATAGTTGGTGTTTATGCACAAACACAAAGAATTTTCATACATTTTATTTCAGAGAACTACAGTCGAAAGATATTTGATTTACAACAGCAGTGTAGAGTTGAAACTATGTTTGTAGATACCATTTTGGTGTTGATGTGTCAGTGGTTTTTCAGCCTTGTTTGAACCAGTTTTGAAGCTTTACATTTGCTGTTTATACATGTGAAAACCGAAGGCTTTACGGAAAATAATGTCTCCTCATTCAAGTGAAGTATGAATGATAGACGAGAGGCATTATATAAGTAAAGCCAGAGACTGAGCATGTATAAATCAACCCGCCTCTATAATAGTTTATTACAAATTATTAATTCTTTTCTTTATAATGTATATATTTTTCACTTTTCCCAACCCTTAGGTTATTTGGTACTTTCAAAACTGATTCACACTTCAGTGGGATGAGGGGACATTTTATATGACTAACATTGTAACTGGTTCTACCAGTGTTAATTACCTGACAAGTTTGATATATAACATACAGTTAGCAGACAGAATTATTGATATTATTTAACAAATTCAATCTATCAGGTCGGCTGGTATAGAAAATATTTTATTTTTTCCCATTGAGTTAATAAGTATCTTTGTATTACTCTATTTACAAGACATGTTACGTTAAACAAATTAGTCTCGTCAATACACCATATTCAACCCTAGTTTATTAGACACTGAAAGTTCATAATGCAAATTACGTCATCCATTGATAAAATGGCGACATCATTATGAACGAATAGCCAAATGAAAGATATCAAAATTTCACTGAAATGGAAGAATTTTGGTCCATGTTATACATTGGAGATAATTTCCACTAAGACCCCTTGATTTCAAAACTTGCCATAGGATAGATGGCTGCACTTTGTCGAAGGCAGATTTAAAATCCACGACATAGGACATAGAGGCGCCCCCTAGACTTATACAAATTTTTCCTGGCTCTAAAACGATTTAATGTTTTGTATTTTTGGTCACGAAGTTTTTGGTACACATTGTTAAACCAACTGGGTTGTTGTTGTTACAATGCACTTACTTTTTGATTTATGTTTTTGGATTGTGGTCATACAGGTTGAGGCATTCTGTAACAGGGAATGTAATTTGTCAACATTTTTTTCTATGTTGTCCATGTTGCTGTCAACAATACTTTGTATCATTTGTTTAGATTTAATATCATTTAACGCATTTTGAACCCTAATTTGCATGCAGGATTCCAAATATACTAGATTCGATTATTACACTCAGTATGATTCACATTTAGATCGGTTAAAGTTTCAGATGATGAGAAATTCAAAGTATATTTAATGGGAAAATGGTCTGATGTGTCAAGGTTAAGAACAGAAAAATCTTAAATTACAACAAAAAGATCAGTAGAGGCAACCATGTATTCTACAACACTTTCTACCTCCATTAGCGAGATATGTTACATGTCTATTACGATCACCTGGAAATCTACCATTAAGGAAGTGAATTGAGAAAGTCTTACATAGTTCAATTAATTTTCGTCCAAAATTATTTGCTTCCACGTCAACATTCCTTCTATCGACATCAAAACCATCTTGTTGATATATTTCTGTTTGGGGAAAGATGTGTTTCGTACTATCATCTGAAATATAGTCTTGTAGATTTGTGGTATACGGCCATTAAGGTCACGTGCTAGGAACAAAAGGTGGACAGGATTCAACCTTGGGTGATAATAAACAATTTCACCAAGTTTCATAACAATCCATCAAGAATTGTGCCTTCCAGAGTGTTTACAAACTAAAAATTGAACGGGTTCTGAAGAACAAGGGCAATAACTCATACTAAATATTTTTCGATTGGTCTGATTTTCAATAGGGTTCATCCTGAAGTGATTACAAACACTCACACCAAGTTTCGTCAAAATCCATCAAGAAACCAGCTCTCTATCGTGTCCACAATGAATTCAAGAACAAGGGCAATAACTCATAATAAATATTTTTCGATTGGTCTGATTTTCAATAGGGTTCATCCTGAAGTGATTACAAACACTCACACCAAGTTTCGTCAAAATCCATGCAGAAACCATCTCTCTATCGTGTCCACAAACAATTCAAGAACAAGGGCAATAACTCATAGTAATTTTTTTTCGCTTGGTCTGATTTTCAAAAGGGTTCATCCTTGAGTGATTATAAACACTCACAACAAGTTTCGTCAAAATCCATCAAGAAACCAGCTCTCTTACGTGTCCACAAACAATTCAGGAACAAGGGCAATAACTCATACTAAATATTTTTCGATTCGTCTGATTTTCAATAGGGTTCATCCTTGGGTGATTACAAACACTCATACCAAGTTAAATCCATCAAGA